CATAATATATATAGTTTAAATAAATTCTTTATTCATTTTGAGTTCTTTGATATAAGTTTCACACAAGCTGAGTGCAACACAACACAAAATGACACATTATAATGCTACAAAATTAATTAAAAAAGAAAAGAAAAGACAATAGAGTCTAACAATATCATGATAAATAACTTTCAATTTACAACTGCTAAGCTGTCCAGTGCACATGCCACTTTGAACTCTATATTGAAACAATATGTTCAATTTATATAAACTCTATATTCAGTTTAACTTCCTTAAAATAAATTTCACATGAGTGGGCAGCACAAACATAGTGTCACAAAAAAGCGATGCACTGCATTGCTCTAGGAAGTAGTTTACTTAGATTAATACTATTTTAAAATAATTTTATGTAACAACCTAGATTTCCTGGCTTGGAGATGCGCATGGTAATGAACAGAACGCGTGCGACAATAAGTGGAAGATAAAGATAAGGCCGCTGTGCACGACTAGTAAAGATAATGTCGCCGTAGGTACAAGGAGAGAGGCCACCGTGCATATAAGGAGAGAGGCCGCCGTGTTAATATCCATTGTAGTTTTGACGTTATTGATCATCCTATGATGTATGCCAAAGCTTTGCTGTGAAATTCCAGGAACTCTATACGATATTGCACTAGACTGTTCACTAATTAAATGGTTTTCAAATGATTTTCAAATGATTTTAAACTAGTTTTAAATGAAATATGGAAATGTCTACTTTAAAATTAGTTTTGGAACCATGTTTAAATTCTTCATAAATTGAGATTTATGCCTCTATTTGTATGGATATGTCACTGTGACAAATGCAATAATTTTCAGAACTGTTTCTCATTTTGCTCTGAACTGTTTACTGACCAAATAGTGTTCAAATTATTTCAAACTAGTTTTAAATGAAATATGGCCATGCTACTTTAAAAGTGGTTTTGAAACCATTTTGAAATTCTTCATAAATTGAGAGTTATGCATCTATATGTATGGACATGTCATTGTGACAAATTGTAGTAATTTTCATAACTGTTTCTCATTTTTCACTAAGCTATTCATTAACCAAATAATGTTCAAATAACTTGAACTAGTTTTAAATGAAATATGGCTGTGTATACTTAAAATTTGTTTTAAAACCATGTTGAAATTCTTCATAAATTGAGAGTTATGCCTCTGTATGTATGGACATATCCTTGTGACAAATTGCAATAATTTCCAAAACTGTTTATCATTTGTACTGAACTATTCACTTACCAAATAGTGTTCAAATGACTTAAAAATAGATTTAAATTGAATTTGGATGTGTCTAATTGAAATTTTGTTTTGGAACCATGTTGAAATTCTTCATAAATTGGAAGTTATGCATCTATTTGTATGGGTATGTCACTCTGACAAATTGTAGTAATTTCTAGGACTATTATATGTTTTTATGCAAGGTTGTGTATTGACCTATATGTCTCTAAATATGGCTAAACCACTTCTAAAAAAAAGGTGAATGAGCTTACTTTCAAGTTGGTTTTCAGAACTATGACTAAAATCCCAAATGGAATGGAAATTGGGCCAAATTTTCTAAGAGCCCTTCATACTAAAAATCCTATTCTGTTATGAATTACTGAATATGCATGCTTATGATATAGTGAGTGCTCATAAACTCTTGAATAATTGTGATTAGACATGCTTCGGCACGAGTGAATGAATGCTTGAGTTATGCAAGTGCATAGTTATGATTTGATACGATATGACTGTGATAAGAACCACTACGCAATGAGACACCCATTGGTTATGGGAATATGATATGATGAGACTGTGATATGAATCACTATGCAATGAGTCACCCATTGGTAGTGTGACAAGAGATTCTGAGACTTTTGTATAAGGCACTGCGCAACGGGTCATGCGTTGGTAGTGAAATCTGTTATGATATGATAATAATGTTATGCTGCCACCCTAATGATAGGAATGAAGTTAGGATGTGAATGTGAATATCTGGGAGGGTCGCACCCCTGGACCTATATGGGCACTACCCTTTGGGTCACCTATTGGTAGTGTAATGCGCTATCGCCTGAAAGGCATAAGGAGATGGTTGTGTCTTGTAAGGTCACAGCCTATCAAAAGCCCCAAAGCGCACTAAGGATTGTGTGTGTATGTGTGTGAAGACATTATAAAATGGGTCACCCATTTATCATTGTCTTCCTTCCTAAGTGAGTGTAGAAGTTCCAAGTTACAGGATTAGCTTGGCCAGATCAATGGGACTTCTACTTCAGGAGTCGGCGACTTAAGATTGCCTGTATGCACTATGTGTTTCGCCTGAAATTCTGATATGTTATTTGATAAAATGATGGGGTAACTGTTAGCCCACGGGATGTATGATACTCTGACATCTGATTCACACTTCTTCCACCATTGCTAAAAGAATTGTGACACAAAATTTCATGTTATGAAATCTGCATGAATTTTTAAGCAATGTTTATGAATATGATTGTTTAGGACGGATTATATGGTGTTGATCTGCTTACTGGGCTCTATAGCTCACCCATTTGACTTTCTCTGTGTAGAGTGATAAACTATGGTTTTTTTTTACAGTGGGCGCTTAAGCACTCGTGGTTGGCGGTTGAAGATTCAAGTTTGGCGGGGAAGGCCTTAACCTGATAGTTGGTGTCTATTGGCGGTGGCCTCATAGTTGTGTTGTTTGAAGTATTGTAATTTTGATGTTGGGCCTTTGATGCCCCGAACATGATTGTAATTAAAATTTCGACCTTGTATATATTTATAAGTTGGTTTTATTTTTGTTTAGTTCTTTGTACTTGTGTGTATGGTTTTTGTTTTCTTTCGTGATTTGCTTTGATTTAACCTTTTAAAAAGCGTTGAACGCACTCCCACTTGAGTGCTATTCGCAACTTCTGGTCACAGCCCGCACTATGTCACCCTCTGGAGGGTACGGTAGGGGTCAGGGGGCGGGGTTGTGACATTTTAACACAAGTTGAGCGGATAGCATGACATAGTGCCACCACAAAAATGACAAGTTGCTTTGTCCTAAGCGGTAATTTACTTAAGGGAAAAGTTTATATAGAGCTGATGCTCCAAACAATCAAAATAGAGCCTACCTCAAAAATTTCACTAGAATAGGTTGTTTTGATGCCCAAATATCCTCATATGGGTCATCTCGACATCAAGATGCATAGACATGAGAAAAATATAAATTTCAAGTTTTGCAAATAGTGCATCTTGTAAAACATTTTTGGATCGTCAATTTACAAGATTTCATAGATCAGCTCGATCTACACTATTTTTTAAGCTTTAAATTTTATAATTAGAGATAAAAAAATATTTAAGGCTATTACCAAGATTTCCAATATTAAAACCACATTTCTCGATACTATTTGAAGGTAGGCTGAGCCTCGACTCTATACAAACCGCACCTTTTACTTAATATTGATTTAAAAACCTACATTTTAGTATAAATTTCATTGAATAGATTAACTATGCACTGTTGGATGACTAATTCATTGATGTAGGATAGCCGCAAGTTACTTTAGGTTCTATGACTACCTTCATTAATTCTCATATATAAAAAATGTCAGTCCACAAAATTCTATTAATTTACTTTTCAAAGTATTTTTTCACCTAAAAAACTTGAAGTAAGACCATAAAGCATGGTTAGAAATAAAACATACATATCTAAAAAGAAAATATAATAAATGATATATTGTACTATAGACAACATAATGCTCCATGCAGTTTCCTCAATATGAAAGCAATATTTGAGTAGGTCATTCTCCCTCCCTCTCCCTTGAAAGCATTAAGTAGATTTATTTCACAATGAACACATGGTTTTAAAGTTGTCAATTTAGTTTTGAAATTGCTTATTCGAATCATAATTGGTAGTAACTAGGTCAATTCCCTTGCAGAATCGAGCATCAAATTTATCACGACAAAATCACCTAATTTTTTCAAAGAACCACTTAATTTGCATCAAAAAATTCACGCAAGTCTTTAAATTTTATCTTTAATATACTTTTATATTTAATATTTTAATATCTTTTTTACTACAACAAAACAACTAAATCCTTTTCAAAATTGCCAATCTTGATTAAGTTATTTTGAAAAGGAAAAAGTTTATATTGAGCTGAGGCTCTAATCAATCAAATTAGAGCCCACATCAAAAATTTCACTAAAACAAGTTGTTTTGATGCCTAAATATTCTCAAATTAACCATTTCAACATCAAGATGTATGGACATGAGAAAAAAATGGATTTCAAGTTTTGGAAATAGTGTATCTTGTAAAGCATTTTTGGACCGTCAATTTTTACGTTTTCAAAATTTTCATAGATCTGTTCGATATACACTATTTTTGAAGCTTTAGATTTTATAATTAAAGATGAAAATATATTTTAAGGCTATCATAAAAATTTCTAGTATTGAAACCACATTTCTCGATACTATTTGAGGGTTGCGCTTTAGTTTGCTTGTTTAGAGCCTCGACTTTATACAAACCGTACCCTTTTTAAAATTATAGACATTCAAAATCCAAAGATCTAAAACTAATGTTTTCCCCCAACTTTTTGGATCTCAAAAATCCAAAATTAAGAATTAAACTAATTTCAGATTTTTGGATTTTGAATATCAAACTTTAAAAAAAGTTTGATATTCGAGGGACTTTTTTAAACATCTGACCTTCGAAATACCATGGCCATTTTATCATTTTTGAAAGTGATGAACTTTAGTTTTGGATTTTGAAAGTTTACACGACGGACTTTTTTAAACATCTGACCTTCGAAACACCATGGCCATTTTATCATTTTCGAAAGTGATGAACAAATTGGAAACTAAAAAAACAAAAGAAAAAAGAAAAAAGAAAAAAGGTACTTTTGAAATAAGGACACTTTAGTGGGATATACACGTTAATTACACTAAGAAAACATCCGTTACATAACGTTAAGTCGACGTTTCCTACGGAACCCTAATTTCGACCGTTAGGGCACTGAAACGTATTAAAGCGAACCCTAATCTCACAGAAAACCCTTCTATGATCTCTCTCTCTCAATGACCATTCGCTGTGTATAAGGAGCCTCAATCTCTCTCGCTTTCTCTATCAATCACCAAGTGCTCAAGTGCTCTCTGAATTTGTTTCTATTCTCTGTTATTTTTGCATAGATATTTTTTTGTGCTTTTTCCTGTTTTGCAGGTATTTTCTATTTTTTCTTTGCTCTTTTTCTTTAAGTTATGGATGCAGGTTTTCTCTCTTCCTCTGCTTCAATGAAGCAAGAGAGGCGTCACGCTCTTCGTGAGCAGATGGTTCCAAGAAGACCTTCTTCATGACAACAATCCGTAAGAAATTTGTGCTTTTTACGCTATTTTATTATGAAACTCTCCAGGAATTAGGAAGTTAGGGTTTCAGTTGTTAAACTTGATCTTGAAGTATTAACTAATATCCATGATTGATTTCTCCATTTTCTTTGCTCTCTGATAAATCACAAATTAACCTTCCTACACTTCTTTATGATTTCTGTAGTTATTTGTGATTGTTGAGGAAATTGTAAATTTAGGTATCTGATTTTAATTTGTTTAAAGTTTCGTATCTATTTTTTTTTTAGCTGTCATTTTTTCAAAGTTGTGGTTGATAGTGGCCATTGATGTTATCTGGTACATGGTCTTGTTTGAATTTTTTTACATGGTCTTATGTTCATTGGTTTGAGTTTAATAGGGCAAATGATGAATATAGTTGACAAGCATATGTCTGAGTAGACTATTGACACTATGAGGTTCAACTGAGTAGGAAGATCTGATGTCCCACTTACTTTACATTGGGTTCCTCATGATGACAATATTTATTTCCATGTTGTATTTTGTTCATCTCTGTTGTGCTTTTTGTCTTCTCCTGTATGACCCATTCTAGTTCCTATGTGCATTATCTTTTGTGTTCATCAAACTGTAGGTATGTGCTCCTCCCACCTCACTGTTCTTGATTTTAAATGTGGTAACGGTTTTTGTAAATTTTGTTTGTGCTTTTTCTAGTCTATCATTATTTACTGGTCATTTCCAAATCTTCCATAAAATATGCTATGGTACATTAATGTGCCCTTCTCTAGTACCTAGACAATGATCCTTTAGTTTGCAAAATGAAGGTAAATGATGAACTTCATTGAATAGAACACATCTGGAAATCCCTGGATGTCATGTTGTTCAATTGATTGAATAGGAAGATCTGATGCGTTGCACTTATTGTTTCTTCATTTTACTCCTCTTTCCTGTCTTGATTGCTTGTTTTGGTATCTACTTGGTTCTATTTGCTTTAACTGGTTTAATTTGATGTTACAAAGTGTGGTTAACTTCACTGTTACTAATTTGATGTCCCCTTTTCCTTACTCAAAGTTCCCTAATGATTTTAAGTCTCTGATTCTTCTTTTGCTACCATTGAAATCCATGTCTTCTCAGGTGATTATGGGACTCCTATGCCACACTACATGTTGTATACTATTTGCATACTACATGTTGTCTCCACTGTCTGTTTTCAATAACAGCTGGTGCGATGAACCTCCATTTGCTTAAGAGAATAATGGTGGAGACATGTATCAGCTCCTCTGTTGGTCCTTGAGAATGAATGGTGGAGACCTACATTCAATACCCAAACTATCTGTCACATGCAGTATGGTTTCCCTTTCCCTTACAATAATTTTACCTTTATCTCGTTTTGATTATTCAGACCTGCTTTCCAGATATGGCTCTTTTTACATGCAGTAGAGAACATAAATAAACTGTGGTCATCCATTTATTTTATTTAGATTTGAAAGTTGTGATCTGTCTTATTTCAGGTAGAACTTGTTTTGATTTGATTCTATTGATAACATATCATCTCACCTGAATTGGCCCAATTTGATTTGAACTGATGACCAATTGATTTTTTGTTTTGAATGGATCCTTTGGCACGTGCATGCATGTAACAAGCAATGTATTTAAGAGGGTTCGTTTTTGGGTTTACGGTGTTTGAAAAAATTGGATAGAAATTCAGCAAGTGAAATCCTGTTTTGACTTACTGGACTCACTCCTTGAGCTGAGTTGGTTGGGTTTGATGTATGTTCCATGGATTCTTTGGTTTGGCTGCCATACCTGTGTCAGGCATGACCAATTGATTTTTTTGTTTTGAATGGATCCTCTGGCACATGCATGCATGTAACAGGCAATGTATTTAAGAGGGTTCGTTTTTGGGTTTACTGTGTTTGAAAAAATTGGATAGAAGAAATTTAGCAAGTCAAATCCTTGACTTACTGGACTCGCTCCTTGAGCTGAGTTGATGTTGGAGGAGTTGGTTGGGTTTGATGTATGTTGCATGGATTCTTTGGTTTGGCTGCCATACCTGTGCCAGGTATGTATCAACACACAGCTACACAATTTCTTTTGGATTCTTTTAGCTTGATCACTCATTGGATTGCATCATTGACACAGACTTTGATCTTCTTGTTATTGGATAAAAATGCGTACTTCAAAAATGTTTAAGAATTCAACCAGCTAAGTCAGTTGATGTTTTTGGTTACATAATATGAAATGGAATAACATCTCTTTAAAATATAAATATAGCCGTGTCTTTTATCTTGTGCTTCTTGACATGGAGAGTCTGGCACCTCGTACGCATGTCTAAGCCTTACACAAGTACATGTGTCCATACAAGAATTAGTTTCATGTATGGATCTTCTGTGTATTGGTTGGTTTAGATTGATTTGGTGAACTTTCTTGCCAGTTATTTTCTTGGTGCTGGTTTTTATACTGGATTTCATTCTATTCAATATGTTTCATCTGGCTCATGTGCACAGATCATTTTCAAAGGTGTAATTTGTCTCTTATAGGTGTTGTGGATGATAAGAACATGAAGAGAACAGTTATCCCTGTCTGATTTTTTATTGCTGATCTTTTCAAATCTGACACATGGTGCTATTTATCTAAAGTCAAGTCAACTTGGTGAGTTGTTTTCAGAAAAGCTGATCACCTTCAGCTAATCAAACTATTTTGACTTCTTAGTCGAGGGCCCTAGAGGCCAGTGATTTCTGGGGAATTGACTTGACGGGGCCTGACTTTTTACACATTGATCTTTTTATCTAAGTAGCAACCTATTGTTCTCAGGTATTACTTTCATCTTTGAATGTTTGGCATATTTTTTGTTCCTTTATGTCCATCTTGGTGAACTGCCTTCTTAGGTATTACTTTCATCTTTGAATGTTTGGCATATTTTTTGTTCCTTTTATGTCCATCTTGGTGAACTTCCTTCTTAGGTATTACTTTCATCTTTGAATGTTTGGCATCTTGGTGAACTCTGTTTGTAAATTATTTATTGTTAATTATTTCTTTACAACATATTTCTTGTAAATCATTTCTTTTAAGGAATATGTTTCTCCTTAACGTTTAGTCTCGAAAATTATTTGTTTTATGATTCAAGCATTTTTTTTTTCTCTTAAGTCATTTTCGAATATGGAGGTCTTCCCTCCTTAAGGTATGTGGATGATGAGAAAGAGAATAGTTATCCTTGTCTGATGCTTAAATGCTGATCTTTTCAAATATGACACGTGGTGTTGTAAATCTCATGTCTGCATTGGATAGAATCGCTTCAAAAGATGGCATACACATGTTTTTCCTTTTTATGCATTTGAAGTTGTATGATATATTTTCATTTTTATGATTTTTATTTGCCTTAGCAAATGTTATAATGTATATACCTCAACTTTTATGAAAAATATTTTTTCATTTTTATGATATTTATTTGCCTTAGAAAATTTGTAATGTATAAACCTCAACGTTTATGAAAATTTTTGCTTTAAAAATGTTGAATTGTGTCATCTCCATTTAAATTTGTCTCAATCTCCTATTGTAACGTTAAGAATCGTTTCAGTTATTGTAATCCAACTAGCTGTCATCCTTCCTGAAATGTTAAAGTTGGTAGATTGTGCTGGGCTTTATTTCTGTGCTACATTTGGTATTGTTCTATTTTGATGCTTTATGTTTTCTCTTTTCAGCACAATCTACAGGTCTTTGTGATCTAAGAAGTATTTACTTGTTTTTCTATTGTGAATAAAATATTTTCTTTTTCGTCCATAGGTTGTTTGTTTAGATTCTTTTAGGGAGTGTGCCTTTTTTTTTATGTTTAATTACTATGATTGACATTTGCACATTTGTGATCTTAGAGTTAATGAAATACCAACATTGGAAACTGAATCATGTATATGTGAAACTTGTAAGACTTTGTGGCGTTTGAGCTATTTGCGCTCAAACTTATTTTTCCAAACTTTTGCTTTCTTGTCTTTGATACTTGTGTTCTTGTCTGCATGCATTGTCTTATTGGATTTTCTTCTTCATTCATAGGTTGTTTGTTTAGATTCTTTTAGGGAGTGTGCTCTTTTGTGTTTTGTTTAATTACTTTTAGGTTGATTGACATTTGCACATTTGTGATCTTAGAGTTAATGAAATGTCAACATTAGAAATTGAATCTTGTATATGTGAAACTTGTAAGAGTTTGTGGCGTTTGAGCTATCTGCGTTCAAACTTATTTTCCAAAAACAAAACATTTACCTTGTTTGGCGATAGCTCATCCTAAAGCTGATAAAATTATTGAAACAGATGCTTCAGATATAGGTTATGGTGGAATTTTCAAACAAAGATTTCAGCCAAATGAAAAGGAAAAGTTAGTAAGATTTACTTCTGGAATTTGGAATTCTGCTAAAACAAAAAAAAAAAATTCAACCGTAAAAAATGAAATTTTATCCATAGTTAAATTTGTAACTAAATTTGAAAATGATGTCTTAAATCAAGAATTTCTAATACGAGTTGATTGTAAAGCAGCAAAAAATATCCTTTGAGAAAGATGTAAAAAAGATTGCCTCTAAACAAATATTTGCTCGATGGCAAGCTATTTTATCTTCTTTTGATTTTAGAATAGAGTTTGTTAAAGGAGAATCAAATTCTCTTCTTGACTCGAGAATTCTTGTAGGGATACTTGGAGGACTGCAGCAAATAATCCAGCTCTAAATAGTAAAAATTCGTCCTTCCTCGAAGGAAAAGAAAATTCTGAAGGAGCTACTAGCTCGGGAACTAAGAAAATAACTCCCTACATTGAAAAATCAATAATCTCAATATTAGTAATAGAAAATAAGCATGTTCTAAAAGAACCATATAAAGTTGCAGAAATTTATCTAAAAGATGAATTGGTTTCTCAAAGTTATCGCAATAACCATGTAATTGGTTTCATAAAGTTCCACATAATAAATAACAATTGCTGCAACTTCATATGGTTCTTTTAAAGCATGCTTATTTTCTATTACTAATATTGGGATTATTGATTTTTCAATGTAGGGAGTCATTTTCTTAGTTCCCGAGCTAGTAGCTCCTTCATAATTTTCTTTCTTTTGAGGAAGGACGAATTTTTGCTGTTTGGAGCTGGATTATTTGCTGCAGTCCTTCTCTGAGTATCCCTGAAAGAATTCTCGGGTCAAGAAGTCAGGAAGAGAATTTGATTCTCCTTTAATATATTCTATTCTAAAATCGAAAGAACATAAAATAGCTTCCCATCGAGAGCAAATATTTGTTTAGAGGCAATGTTTCGACATCTTTCACAAGGATATCTTTTGTTGCTTTACAATCAACTCGTATTAGGAATTCCTGATTTAAGAAATCACTTTTAAATTTAGTTATACATTTAACTGTGGATGAAATATCTTTTTTTATGGTTGAATAATTTTTTTGAGCAGAATTCCAAATTCCAGAAGTAAATCTTACTAACTTTTCCTTTTCATTTGGCTGAAATCTTTGTTTTAAGATTCCACCATAACCTATATCTGAAGCATATGTTTCAATAATTTTATAAGCTTTAGGATGAGCTATCACCAAACAAGGTAACTGTTTTGTTTTTTCGTTAATCTTTTTTACGGCCATGGTATGTTCATACTTAGGTTCTTGTCTACATGCATTGTCTTATTGGATTTTGGTGCTTACATTATCAGAAACGCTGACTCTTATCATTAGTATTTCTCATGAGTTTTTCTGCTACTATAGGTGTCCTCTTATATTTTTGGGGTTTTTTTGGGAGAAAATTCTCTTTGGGGATTTTATTAGTTGTTTCATGTTGTTTTCAGTCTAATTTACTACAGTTGAGATCATTCCAGCACTAAATGCACTGGATCGCCTTAAAATTAAATAATTAGTCCTCTTTCTTTCTTGTCACTCTTCTCTTGGTTTTGCAACAAATTCCAATTATACTCTTGGTTTTGCAACAAATTCCAATTATTGTCTTTGAGGTTGATTTCCACTTTTGAGGCCATTTCAGGTATGAATATGCTTGCCATTCTTTTTTAATTTTTAAAGTTGTGTGCACTCAGTTCGAAGTTGGTGACTGTTATGGGGTCTTTCAGGATTTTGTATGATGGGAAGCTGCACTATTGCAATTGTGGCAGACTTTGATTTTATCCTGTTTATTATATTGTGATCTGTGGGCCAATGATGCCAAGCGTAGTGGCTGAATAAGAATACTTTTCTTTGCCATGTTGAAGTGAGTAGTGGTCTTTCAGGAATTTGTATGATGGGAAGCTGCACTATTGCAATTGTGGCGGACTTTGATTTTATCCTGTTTAGTATATTGTGATCTGTGGGCCAATGATGCCAAGCGTAGTGGCTGAATAAGAATACTTTTCTTTGCCATGTTGAAGCGAGTAGTGGTCTTTCATGAATTTGTATGATGGGAAGCTGCACTATTGCAATTGTGGCGGACTTTGATTTTATCCTGTTTAGTATATTGTGATCTGTGGACCAATGATGCCAAGCGTAGTGGCTGAATAAGAATACTTTTCTTTGCCATGTTGAAGTGCATTTTACTAGGACGGTCTGAAGCCATGCAGTCATTTTGAGCTCTTGCTTTTCAATTTTTTTATAATTCCATTGCTGTGGTTCTCGTATGGTTGTGTTTACTACACTGGGTTACAAGATATTCATTGAACTGTCCAATGAATAACATCAATTTAGTGCGAAGGCCTGAGTGCCTATTGCAATTGTGGCGGACTTTGATTTTATCGTGTTTATATTGTGATCTGTGGGCCAATGATGCTAAGCATAGTGGCTGAATAAGAATACTTTCTTTGCCATGTTGAAGTGCATTTTACTAGGACGGTCTGAGGCCATGCAGTCATTTTGAGCTCTTGCTTTTCAATTTTTTTATAATTCCATTGCTGTAGTTCTCTTTATTGGTGTGTTTACTACACTGGGTTTACAAGATATTCATGGATATTCATTGAACTGTCCAATGAATAACATCAATTTAGTGCAAAGGCCTGAGTGCCTATTCTTTTTAGCCCTTCATGTCATTATTTGGTCTTTCTTGTTTGATCTTGCAATGTGTTTCTTTCACTTTTTTTGGTCTCTATGACAATTGTTTGCTTTGACTTTGTATGCTTTCAAATGTTTTTGGCAACCTCATCATATACTTGTGGGATTCATAAACTCTGTGATCATGTTCTTTTGGGGGATTTGGAGCTATAAATCATTTATGGATTTGGTTATGTTACTCTTTTTAAATTTTTTCAACAATTGCTTTATGCATGTGGTAGTCTCTGATAATTGAATTATATTTCTTGTTGAAGATGTATGGACTATTCTGCTGTTGATAGTATGCATTTGGAAGATGAAGATTATATTGTCCTAATTATGATGCCTTCAAGTTTCATTTCTAACCAAAGCCATATCAGATATGGATTATGTGTGTTATTGCAAAACCTTGTTATACATCATGCAGCTGAATGTCAAATCCATTCTCCTTTTCATGTTGAACTGGACTTTACTAAGATGGTCTGTGGCCATGAATAGATCTTGCTTTTCATTTTTGTGTATGGGGTTACTTTTGTGCTAGTAGTGTGATTGTGCTCTATTACAAAATGTTCTGTTTTTATTGAAATAACCTTAATAGTGGTTTAAATGCCTTAGTGCTTTTCCATCTCGAGTATTGATTAGGGTTTTTAGGTTGGCAGCTCCCTTGGTTTAAATGCCTTAGTGTTTTTCCATCTCAAGAATTGATTAGGGTTTTTAGGTTGACAGTTACTATGATATGTAACAAAAATCTAGCCCTCCATGAAAAATACATGATATGTAACAAAAATCTAAATCTTGGATGATGTTTTTGTCTATTGTTTTTGTTCACTCATAGATTTTTGTAAAATTGAGTGTTTTTGATAATTGGGCCACACTAGTGCTAGTATTTCTTTTGCACAGCCTGGCTTAGCTGAGTTCCTTGAGATTATGTTGGGTGTACTTTTGTCATAAACAAGAGTAGATACAATGATCAAGTTGTTAATGGCTCATACTCTTGGAAATTATGAACACTTAGTCCCAATGAAAGACTAAGAATAAACCACTTAAAGACATGTAACTTAAAAGACATGTAACGAACATACAATGGATAAGTATGGTTCTTATTAATGTCATTTAAGTCAGCTTTGTTTGACTATGTTCACAGAGAGCATGGCTTAGTCTATGGATTTTGAGATTCAACGAAGATTATATAAGTCTCAAGAGCAGTCTAAAGTTGCCCAGAGATGGTTTAATCCATCTCAGTCTCAACATCAGTCTAAAGCTGCTTAGAGATTGCTTAATCCATCTCAGTCTCAACATCAGTTTAAAGCTGCCTAGAGATGGCTTAACCCATCTCAGTCTCAACAACAGTTTGAAGCTGCCCAGAGATGGCATAACCCATCTCAGCCTCAACGGCCTAAAGCTGTTCAGAGATGGCTTAACCCATCTCAGTCTCAACAGCAGTCTAAAGCTGCCCAAAGAGTCTCAACGATAGTCTAAAGCTGCCTAAAGATGGCTTAACCCATCTCATTCTCAACGGTTATCTAAAACTGCCCAAAGATGGCTTAACCCATCTCATTCTACAAAAGTCTTGAACCGCCCAACGATGACTTAACCCACAGTATCATTGATCGGCAGTTAAATCCTTAAAAGCTTTATGGATTTTACGGTGAATCTCGATTATCTCAAAAGGAGAATTGTTTCTTCGGAACAAAAAATTCTCTCATCAAATCGGCACCGTTGAACTTTGGACTCTTTGCTTTGTTACCTTTAAAAGGTTAGCATGGATTGAGTTGAACAATGGAAGTGGTTGCTACCCACTGATGACAACGATGACGATAATAATGAATGTCTGATTTTGCTCCTGTAAGATCATGAGATTCGAAAGTTTGAAATTCGAAAGACAAGCGTCAACGATTGTATCTGCGAGAACAATCTAGCAATGAGATCAACAGTGTGGAAAGATAAACACAAGAGGTAAACCGCATTATGAAGATAATGATTGCGTCATGCAAGATCTGCGATTCAAATGAGTGGATAAACTCAAGATGGAGATGGAGGGTAAAGATTTGAAGATGAGAAATGCATGATATCCCTTGAACACGATAGTTCACGATTAAAGAGAGAGTCGCACTTTTTTGATAGACACAATCTAGTAGAGATAAAGAGTTCTTCAGAGGTTGTACCTCGGTAAGAACCAAGAGTAGAAAAGAGACTGACATTCAAGACACGAAGAGAGAGATAATCATTTCCTACGACTCATTTGAGACCCGTTCTCTTAAGGAAACCGGACCCGAAGGATAACACGTCCTTGCATATATCTACAAGCATATCAGGTATATTGGCCGATATGCCCTCAATGTTGTCTTTTCTTTTTGTATTTTCTTATTTAGAAACGAATGTATAGGTTTCAAAGCCAAATCAAAGGTGCTCGACTTATTTTAATTCTTCAAGTCGATGTAAAATGTAACAGAGGATTAAACCTTTGGAATTGTTCATACCCCGTATAAATAACAAAGCCTGTGTTTCTGATATGAAGTGCATGGGTGAATTTGGCCTCGAATATGATGTCCTTTGGTTTTCTATTTGGAGTTTAATGTTTGTCTAAACATTATGTATTTCTTACATTTCGGAGCGACCAAATCTCTAGCGACTCCACTGTGTAGTAATTTTCCTTTGATAGATAGAGTCCAATCACTGGGAAGTTGAATCTCACTTTTTCTGAATATGTCTCGATTCACGATATTTTCTACACTACTATAGTGTTTTCTTTATTTACCCTGACGAGTTGCGTTAATCATAGGTCATCAGAGGTAATCATGGTTGCTGTAATGACTTCTTTGCTGGTGGGAACCATGAAAGTTCCATTGCATTCCTCGGCCCCCGATCAATGGTCAATCTGCTTTCCTTAAAGTTGTGGCTAGCCTGCCTGTTGGAAAGGTAGCGACCGAAGGGCAAAGAGCCAAACCATAAGGTTTCCATAAGATCATGAGGTTCGAAAGTTTGAAATTCGAAAAGACAAGCGCCATCGATTGTATTTGCGAGAACAACCTAGCAGTGAGATCAACAACGTGAAGATAAACAAGAGGTAAACTGCATTATGAAGATAAGGGTTGCGCCCTGCAAGATCTATGATTCAAATGAGTGGATAAACTCAAGATGAAGATGGAGGGTGGAGATTTGAAGATGAGAAATGCATGGTATCTTTGAACAACCATAGTTTAGCACTATAAAAAGGGGTACTTCTCGATTAAAGAGAGAGTCACACTTTTTTGATAGACACAGTCTAGTAGCGATAAAAGAGTTTTTCAGAGGTCTTACTTTAATAAGAACCAATAGTAGAAAAGAGAGTGACATTCAAGACACGAAGAGAGAGATAATCGTTTCTTATGACTCATTTGAGACCCGTTTTCTGAAAGAGACCAGACCCAAAGGATATGTCCTTGCACATATATCTACAGGTATATATCGTTTCCTTTTAACATGTTTGTATTCTGTTCTTTTGAAATGAATGTATTGGTTTCAAAGCCAGAATCAAAGGTGTTAGCTTATTTTAATTCTTCAAGTCGATGTAAAATGTAACAGAGGATTAAACCTCTGGAATTGCCTAGTACTTAGTATAAATAATAAAGCTCGTGTTTCTGCTATGAAGTGCATGGGTGAATTTGGCCTCGAATGTGATGTCCTCTAGTTTTCTATCTAGAGTCTAATGTTTGTCTAAACACTATGTATTTCTTACATTTCGGAGTGACCAAACCTCTAACGACTCCACTTGATGCACCTTTCATCTCTGATAGAGTCTAGGAAGTCGAATCTTTCTCTTTGAATATGTCTTGATTCATGATCTTTTCCACACTACTCTCATGTCTTCTTTATTTACCTTAACGAGCAAACCCTTGCGTTAATCACAGGTCATTAGAGGTAAATCATGTTGTTGTAATGACATCCTTCCAGGTGGGAACCATAAAAGTTCCACTGCACTCCTCCCTGATCAAGGGTCAACTTGCTTTCCCTAAAGCCGCGGCTAGCCCGCCTGTTGGAAAGGTAGCGATTCAAGGGTGAGGAGCCAAACCATGAGGTTCCCATGAGATCATGAGGTTCAAAAGTTTGAAATTCGAAAAGACAAGAGGTAAATCGCATTGAGATCAACAACGTGAAGATAAACCGCATTGTCAGCGATTGTATCTGCGAGAACCTAGCAGTGAGATCAACAACGTGAAGATAAACACAAGAGGTAAACCGCATTATGAAGATATTGATCGTGCTTTGCTAGATCTGTGATTCAAATGAGTGGATAAACTCAAGATGAAGATTTGAAGATGAGAAATGCATGGTATCCCTTGAACAACCATTGTTTAGCACTATTAAAAGGGGTACTTCTCGATTAAAGAGAGAGTCAGACTTTTTTGATAGACACTGTGTAGTAGAGATAAAGAGTTCTTCAGAGGATGTACTTCGGTAAGAACCAAGAGTAGAAAAGAGAGTGACATTCAAGACAAGAAGAGAGAGATAATCGTTTCTTACGACTCATTTGAGACCCATTCTCTTAAGGAGACCAGACTCGAAGATAACATGTCCTTACATATATCTATAGGCATCTGGGCAGATATGCCCTCGGTGTTATCTTTTCCTTTTAACAGGTATCTATAGGCATCTGGGCAGATATGCCCTCGGTGTTATCTTTTCCTTTTAACAGGTATATGAGCCGATATGCCCTCGATGTTATCTTTTCCTTATAACATGTTTGTAATTTCTTCTTCAGAAACGAATATATAGGTTTCAAAGCTAGAATATATAGGTTTCAAAGCTAGAATCAATACTGTTCAGCTTATTTTAATTTTTCAAGTCGATGTAAAATGTAATAGAGGATTAAACATGTGGAGCTGCTCAGTACCCAGTAATAAATAATAAAGCCTGTGTTTCTGATATGAAGTGCATGATTGAATTTGGCCTCGAATATGATGTCCTCAGGTTTTCTATCTGGAGTCTAATGTTTGTCTAAACATT